TGTTTCATGAATTCTAACCTTAACTAGTATCATTCGATATACAAATGGAAACTCTTTCTTATCATTATAAAGATATTGCATTTTACTCTAGCTTGTTTTCAAAAAAGGGATTATAATGACAAAAAATACATTTTATTGTTTTAAAAGTGCCATAACATTAACATGGTAAAATTATCTGTACAATAGAAAACAGAATTATAAAGAGGAAACATTAGGCTTCTTGATGCATTAATTTCACTTGCATAGGAACACTTGTTTGCGAGATATTGCTCCTAAAAGAAAGAAAATCAAGGGTAAATTGTGACAAAAAATTTCAACGAGCCTCTGTCAGCCTAGCAGCAATTCAAATGAATGGAGGTTGGGCTACGCCCACGCTTCCGTTTCCAATCCCTTTCATTTACTCTATTATCTATGGGCTAAGTCATTTATGGCTAGACCACGCCTTGATCTATGTAGTAACCTCATACAGTCGCGGCAAGTCTCCATGTCAGAGCAAAGTTAGTTTCTATTGTCCGAGCTTTCACTCTTTTCCTAATTTTATTCTATTTCCTTTACAGGTATTTATAAAGGGAGGGCTAGACACTCAACTCCAGCAGTAGGAGGATCACTCTACCTCTGGGCAGGTGCTCAGCTTGATTTACCTGAAATACTTGCTCGATTACATGATTCACGTTCAAGAAGAAAATTGGTCTCAGCAGTCGAGAAATTTACTCTTTCAACAGGTCGCTGGACCTCTCACCTAACAAGAGGCACTCCTCCTTTAGGAATTGTGGGCTACGTCTGTGCCACCTTTCGTTCTAATATTTATTATTATGCTGGCTGGTGTGGTCATGATCGTTGTTTCCACAACAGTTTAAATGTACTAAATACACTGACCATGAGCTGGAATCAATTGCATCCTAATGATGAGTCCATGATGAAGAAAGGCTATGGTGGAATGCTATCACTGGAAATTGATGGAACTGACTATCTTTTTATGGTTGGAGGATCAGGTCCTAAACCATCTGTCAAACGGCCTCAGTTTCAATATGATCGGCTTGATGATGGTATGGCTCGTACTAATGAACAGTTACTTTATAATCTATCTAATGGTGAGTTTCATGTAAAATAATATTATTGTTTTTATTGTCAATGTAAATAATCATTTCATAGTTATTTTTAATCTTGAGGTGTGTTTCAGGTTGTGGTAATCTTTTAATTATAAAACAAATGTTGGAAAGTGCTTATAATAATTATAAGATTGCCATAGGTGGCAATTTAGAAATGGTTGAAAAAGCCTCTTTTCTGGTAATCCATATTTTTGAGTTCATAACAGTCTTTATTATCTTCAGGTGACTACTGTCCTCATATCAATCATCTGTTTCTAACATTTCATAAAATGACATCAATTGAAAATGCTGCATGAAATGTATTTTAATCAGACCTTGGTCCGTTACAATTGTAATTATAACAAGAGTAGATAATAATAGAAGAGAGTGTCCTAATGTGCATATGCCCCCTGCTTTATCACGGCGTAGAATTGAAGAGTCACATTCAGGATATTTTCAGTATTTTATTTGAGTAGTTATCATATTGCTAGTTATTTTGGAATACCTACTCAAAAATACTGAAAATATCCTGAATGTGACTCTTCAATTCTACGATGTGATGAAGCAGGGGGTATATCACAGTAGGACACTCTCTTCTATTATTATCTACTCTTGATTATAATTAGAGGCTCAATTATAATTACCTGCAAATACATAATTGTGTAATGGAGGCTTAAGCCCAAACAGAATGTGATTTTTATCAAAATTCAATTGTCATAGTGTACTGACAACTGACTCAATACAGGCGCAGGGAAAATCCTCTGTCCCTCTTAGTAGCCACTTCACATTACTAATTACATGATCATGTGAATTGTGACAGTCAGTTTTCCCAGTATAATGCTGTGAGGTGTGCTACTTAGCTTGCTCAGTAGAGCTTTGTAGAAAACCCTAATCCATGGTTTTTGTCAAAATGGCTTGGAGAGAATTTTCCTTTTTCATAATTTTTTTGATATACATGTAGGTATATATACTATATCCCAGTTCAGTTTGGGACGGAAGTGGAAGCAGCTGCGTGGAATTTGAAAAATGTAGCTACGTCACAAAAATGACGTATTTTAATGATATTCATAGAGGAATGGCGGCTGTGTTGTTTCACTCTTAAAACAGTCTTGCTCTTCCTGATAAGCAGTATAATAGCTACTGGAGTCAACTAGTCTTCATAAAGGCCGTCATTATCAGAAGATCTTGCTCTGTTAGCTTTTTAAAACAATAATTATCAGTTTGCACTCTCGACCACATGTTCTTATGTAAACTATGACGTAGACTAATTGTCATAAAACGTCATTTTGGTATGCCATTGGGTTTATAGGGAGGACCCGGTTCTCAGGGTTCCCAAGAGCTGAGAGACCCAAGATTTCACATATTTTGATGGACTTTGGCGACTAAGAACCTGTGAAAGTTTCATCCTTATCCCACATTCCTATAAAAAGTTATTCCAGTTTTTCTTGTCCCAAACTCAACTGGGATATAGTCATGTACTGATGTTGTATGTAGTTTGAGCTGATTTTGATTAAATTTAATTTTTAATGAGTTTTAAAGTTACTACAGAAGTCATGCACCAGGGTTGGCAATGCTCGACCAAAAATTTTGACAAATAAATTAATGACATCCTTTTTCATTATGAAAAATTACCATGGATAGCAAGAGACAGTCTTTTCTGCTTCCTTTGTCAACAAGCCTTCCAAGAGGACCAGGACTAGCACTTTACAGATTAGATGGCACCTTTATACATATGTGTGTTGTGTATACACCCAAAATACGTGCCAAAAAGGGAGTGGTCAAAATTCCAGAATACTTTTGATTTGCTTATCATAAACACAAGCATTTACTAAAATTTAAATTGAAGCAGACAGAGGCACTTAAAATTTTTGGTATTAAGTCATAAGTACAAGCTCTCTTGTATTGCTTAAGTATATCTAATCAAAGTATCATTTAAGTATTTAGCTACATGTACATTAAAAGGCAAGAAGTATGTGTTTTACCTTAAAGCCACTATTATTTGCAAGTACTAATTTTTGCCTTTTTTGCGAGTGGCTTTAAAATTGCAAAAAATTAGTACTCACATTTATTAATAGTTTACACTTATTGATAATTATTAATTGAAAAAATGAGCAAAATCGCAAAAATTAGTACACGCTAAATCAATACCATTAATAAATTGCAAATATTTGTCTACTTAAAAATAACTGGCTTTAAAGAAATACACATTATGTTTGCTGATAACTTATGCAGCACTTAATATGTTTATTGTAATAGTCAAAGCACTGAATTATTTGTGCTTAAGCTAGCTTAAAACTGAATTTCTTATAGTGCTAACCTTGTCTTGAAGCATGTTTAATGACATGATGATGATTATTATTGTTTTTATTTTAGGAAAATTTACTGTTCCATCTGTCAGTGGACAGTGTTGTCCTCCAACTAGTTATTTTACAATCAACAAAATAACTGGAAATAAAGGAATAATGTTTGGAGGAGCAGTTACTTATGATGGCCTTGGTATAACTACTAATAATGTGCACATATTCAATGTGACACATAACACAATAGTAAGTTATTAATGTTATTATGATGCTTTTGAAAATTAATTTATAGCAGTATAAAAAAGTCCTAAGAATGTTTTCACTTCCTTGTTATGCATATCTAAAGCAAGTTCTTGAATAGTATTTGTGTCTTGCTATTAGAAAGTTCAGAACTTTATTTGATGAATGCCATTTTTACATGACCATACTGCATTTAACAGAAACATAGATGTGGTTTGGTTACTAGCTTGATTTTAAAATGGATGTACAACTATAAACAACATGCAAAGTGAAAATGTTAAGTACAAAATGGCATGATTTTTTGATAAAACCAATGCTCACCAGTGTCCACATTTCATCAATGTCTTAAGGCCCAGGTTTATGTGATGTAGTTTCTTAAGTTGCATTGGAGCCGGGGCTTATATTCCTTTGATCTTTTCTGTATATACATGTTCTATACAGCAATAAATTAATAACAAAGAATATATTAATTTAGTATAAAGATGTTACTCCACACAATGGCAAAACTTGCTTCTACAGATAGTCACAGTTAAATAGGCCTATTGTCTTTAGAAAAGATTACAATAGGGAAAAATGAGGTATCCTGACCCAGTTACTTTGTTCAAATGGAGGTGGTTCAACAATGGACTGATGAAACAGGCCTAGTTTATAGATGCAATGTAAGAAGATATAGAACTTAACTGTTTCACAGAATAAAGAGATTTTGCAAGTGGTGCAAATAATGATGAATGTTGATTGTACGGTAGGCTTGATTTTGAGCATTTGCAATAGGAGAAAGCATGTAAAGTTGTATTGATTAGGTGGAATGTAAAATTAATAGGTTAAAACATGTCAACCATAGTTACCCTCAAGCATGCATCATAATAGTGAAAACAATCTTAGGAATTACCTGCTAGGTCCAAAGAATACTTTTTTATGTTTCTAAATTTTTTAAAGCATTGGGAGAGTATTAAAAAAGGATCAATATCTGTTAAAGGACTTTGGCCTAAGAAGAGATGCAATCATGCTAGTGCTGTTATCAGTGGTGTCTCTACCTCACCTGCACTAGTAGTGATTGGTGGAAGTGGTAGAACACGTCACCTAATGAGTGATTGTTTGTTATTTGATAATATCACTACTGATGAGTTCAGTTGTAAGAAGGTATGTGTACATGTATGTATGTCAGTATTGTAATTTTGCAATTAATATTAGACAAACCTGTTGCTACTATGATTACAATGTACATGTTTTGGAAATTTATATTTAGAAAATTGTGTGATTTAATTTTTACGTAATAAAGACTGTGTCTTCTATTATTTGAATCTGGCATGTAATTAGATGTGTGATCAAATTTTTGTAAAATGAAATTTGTAGTTGAAAATTTTCAGATAGACTGTAATTTATAAGGATATATCAATGATTGTTTATAGATTCCTCTACCAGAATCTGTTACTGGTAGATACGATCACTCACTCACAGCGGTCACAATGTCACCAAACTGTGTGTGGCTAGTAATTGTTGGAGGGTTTGATGAATTTAAATGGAACATTTTTGGAGGAGAGAATACACATATTAATGATACTAATAGACTAACAATGATAGTTGAATTTGGTAAGATAAGAGTTATCTTGTTAGATAATCAATGGGGGATTGTTACTCTGTAACTGAATGTCTTGTTCTTCTTATTTAGTATATGAAGCTGGTGAGTGGATAGTACAGTCAGTACTGGATGGTCATGATCTCACTAGTAAGAAATATCAAGAAAAGTATGAATTGTACAGCAAGACCAGAACATGGTGGATGGATCAGGTAGTAGAATATCCCACAGAGAAGGAAGCTGAGCTACAGAGATACATCCAGTTATTGCATCAAAAGCTGGCTGAAACCAATAAACAAGGTATATATTCATACATTTTATTTGCATACATTGATATTAATTCAATTGTAATTAATTGTATGACTATGTTTTAAATTTAGCTAAAGTTGATGATAATAATAAACTGGAAGAGGTGTTAAAAGCACAGGTACAGATACACAAAGAGAAACAGATTCTTACTGGTTAGTGTATCATCGGTACATAATATTAGATGAGTCTATTAATGTAGAAGATATTGAAAAACTTAGAGCTACAGTTGCTTATAATGAAGTATATATAACTGAAATAGAAGAAGAGAAGAAACAATTTGAGGAAGAGAAGAGAAAATTAGAAGAACTGTATCTCAAGGAGAAACAAATCACTAAAGGTTACCATGTGCGCAATGTACATATTATGTGAAAGAATATTCCTTTTTAGAATTAAAAACGAAAGTTGTTGTTAATGAAGTACATATAACTGACATGGAGGAAGAGAAGGAAAAAAGGGAGGAGCAATATCGTAATGAGAAACAGATCACTGAAGGTGAGAATATTGTTATCATTTAATGTTATGAGGAAAATAAGTAGAACTTAAAAGCAAAGTAGCTGATAATGAATTGTATACTTCCAAACTAACGAAGGAGAAGGAGCAACTACAAAAGAAAATTACATCCTTAGAGGAACATTTTATCAAAGAAACTGCATGCAATTCTATTGGATTACAATTTAACTACTTGATTCCTTCAATGGGTAGGTGTTATTATGCGAATAACCATATATTTATACAATTGATAGATAATTTGGAATGTCTGAGTGATGTCCAGGTAGCAGAGAAGAAGCTGTTCTTAATTCAAGGAGACAAACCTCAACTGATGAATTGGGAGAAATATGGTCTAAGGATTGGAGTACAAGAAGGAAGCCTATTGTCCTCTGAGACAGTAGAAGCAGCAGTGGTTGCTCTTGTAGGAGGACAGTTTGAGTTTCCT